TTCTGTGAATAAGAGACCACTTGCTCATCCAGAAGTGTCACTGGCACACAAGCGTCCTGTGCAGAGGAAACGAGTCATCGAACAACTGAGCTCCATCTGCAGTCATTGGGAACCTGAGGTTTGATGTCATCTCCTGGATTTGGTCCTAACCGTCGATTCCTCATTCATGGGTGGGCCTCTGTACAGTGGTGTCAACATGCTGCCCAAGACCTGCGTTTCCCCAAGCCTTGCAAAGCAGAGGGATGAGTCTCTGTGGGTACCCTGAGCAACAAATCCCAGACCAGTTAGCAGAAACTCACTGTTGTAGTTTTCCTTCAGGGTGAGTTGTTGCAGAAGAACAACAGCTTGGCATGGCTGGAGCTTACTCAATCTGCAGCCCTGCAAAAACCTGATTTTCATAAAATAGTAGAAATCACCATAATGGAATAAGCCAAGGAAAACTTCCCTCCTCACATGTCTGTTCAGTTCCAGCTTGTGTGGAGTTACAGCTGCACAAATGATTAAAAAATAGCACTGAACAACTCAAAAAATCAAGAAAAGTTTAGGTCCCTTCTAATGTGATTGTTTTTCCTTGCAGACCTATGCCATGATGGTGCCTTCAAAATCCAGGCATCAGCCACTGTTCAGCTGTAATGAGGAAAGTGTAACAGGGTCCAGGTACTTGCCCTTCCTAATGAAACCTGGCTTCTCTTATCTCCTCCAAATTTTGTTCTTGTCAGATTCCAGTTGCTGGGTCTTGCCACAACTTTGTCTGAACAGCCAGTCATTGGTTACCCCATGAAACCTCTCATAGCCTCAGATTAAGCTTGGACATTTTTTTCCTTGCTCTGGGATTAATAAATAAACCAGGCTCTGGGAATGACTGGTGCAAGGCTGTATTCTCTTTCCTACCATTTCCTACATCTCATGAGTTTCCTGAGTCAGCAGCAGGTCCCCCCCACCATGGACAGGCTATGGTTTGGTGCACAGGCCAAACATGCCAAAGTATTTATTAATTCTGAGCTGCTCACGCTGCAGTGCTCTGTGGAAGGGGCTTCAAAAAGTAGTGGGTTTAGCCACTTATGATGAGGACCTTGGGAAATGAAACACCCTTCAACTCCATTGTTTGTGTTAAGCTGGATTTGTTTCTCACCCAGAAATCAAGGTGGTGTGTTTTCCTGCCCTGTTTTGGGTTCTGTAGTGGCTGCTTCAGTTTCTGCTTAGGTCCAACAGCAGCACTTTTGGACTGGGAATAAAAAAATAAATCCTAAGCTATAAAAGTTTGAGCTGGTTTGTGTTCAGTTCAGCTCTGAGCTCCCTGCTGAATGTAGGGATTCAAGGCCAAGTCCTATAGACCTGACATGACTTTCAGACACTGAGGTTGAGACTCTGAACTGAGTGGCTCTACCACTGGACTTTCCTCCATGACCTCTTATCTGAACTGGACCCTGTACTGCCTTCACCATCACATCTGAGCTCCCCTGAGATGCTCTCTTTGCTGCCTGGTTTCTCTGCTCGTCCTTTCTCCATCCTTCCTGGGTCTCTGCTGTTCCATCAAAGACCCAGCTGGGAGGCTGGGGAGACTGTGCTGACTTGGTACCTCCTGGAGCACTAGAGGGCACAGGGAGTCAGAGGAAGAGGAGGAATTACACTGATGAGAATGGGGCTCCCCAGAGCTGCTGGTGGCCGTGGGAACCAGTGTGTGTATCCTCTTTCAGGGGATGATGGCAAGGTACATTGTGGTGGAAAGCATGTCACAGAGAAGCCCTGATAAATCCCCAGGTGTTTATCACCATTAGTGGACAAGGACCAACCTATAACTAAGCAAGGCCAGTGGCTGCTATCCCATACCTCTCTCCCTGTGCTCTCTGTGCAATTAAAACTCTACCTGAGACATACTTAGTTTGGGGGATTTCAGTGGGAAAAGGAGAGGATTTTGTCACCTATTTGACAGCATTGTGGATGTGGGCTGGTTTCTGGCTTGCCTCTCTGCCAGGCTGGCCAGCCCAGCTGGGTGTGCAGCAGCTGATGCCTATAAAGGGCTGTGAGGGTGGCAGAAGGACAGGGAGGTGTGGTCTTTTCAGGAATGAGTGGTGTAGAGGGATATCTCTGGTGCTGGGCAGGTGTTTGTCTTCTGGGTCAAGCTGGCTTCAGGCATTAAAAGCACCTGCAAGATGCTAGCTTGCTGGTCCACTGACTCCTGTCCTAGGGGAGGTGGCTCAGAGCCACCATCCTCCTTGGTCTCCTGTGTGCCTGCTTCTGGGTTCAGCCCCTCCCTGCCCCGGCGTGGTTCTGCATCTGCTTCAGTGGGCAGAGTTAAGGTGATGTTGGAGGAGGGATCTGGCTGCTGCTGTCTGGAGCCATGTCAGTTGCCGTGACTGTGGATACCTGCCCTGGGAGCTGAGTGCTACTGATCTCCTTCCAGCAGTGAGCAGTGGGGACCAGCACAAAACATGACAGCTGGGCAGCCCCAGCAGGGTGGTGGTTGGGGAAGATGTGCAGCCCCTCTACCGGTGCTGTGGCCTTGTTAATTTGGTTGGCAGCTTCTGCTTAATGCAGTTTTCCCAGACCACCCAGATTTTGCAACACCTGGCTGATTGCAGACCCTACAGCTAGAAGGAGAAAGCCTAGTCCTGCTTCTCCTCTGGTTAAATTCCCTTCAGCTGCTGATGTGGGCTGCTGCATCTAATTCAGCCCCTGGTGAACTAATCATAGAAACCCTGGTCCTCAGAGGCTGCAGTGAGCTGCCTGAAATACTCTTCCCATCTTTTGTAAGGCCAATTGCCCGTGGTGAAGGTGTGTTTTGTTGCATGTTTTACTGGTTCACCTGGTGATCGTCCTTTGCACCAGGCCAGGAGGGCTCCAGTACCTCTGACCTGTGTGGAAACTGGTAGATGTGTAAATCATGAGCAGCAACACTGCTGCAGCCTCCTCGGTGTTACACACATGGCTTAGCCATCAAACCTGATCCTTCACAGACTGAGCTGGGAATTGTGCAGGAGAGCTCCAAGGTAAGGCAGTCTGCAGACCCCTCCTTGCATGGAGGAGGAGGAGGAACAACACCATGGGGTGGCAACATCTAGGAAGGAACGATTTGCCTCCTCACTGCTCCTGCATCTCTGATCAGAGGAAATTGGGTGAGTGGTATGAGTCTATAAGCAAGGTATCCTGCACAGGGACACAGTTTTTAGCTGGTGGATACTATTCCCACCCCACAGGGCTGACCTCCTGTGGCTGTGTAAGGAAAATCTACTGCCCTGCACAGCTGGTTTGCACAAGCAGGATGAGCACCACGCAATGCTTGGAGCTCCTGGTCATGCTGCAGTCCTTGCTGGGCTGGTGTCTTGGCAAAGTAGCTCTGATGGATCTGGCTACCCAGAAACTTGGCTGGAGCTGCTCGGAGACCTTCCAGAGAGCCAAAGATGGAGGCATCAGAGCCCAGTGCCTCCCAGCTGCAGCTCAGCCTTCCTGGCTGTGAGGGGTCAGAGCTGTTTCATGATGAGCTATGTGTGATGGTATCAATGCTTCCAACGCCTGAGCTCCCAGTGTAGTTATATTGGGATACAACAGGGCTGTCTCAGGACTGTTTCCATCTCCCATGGGATTTTGGCAGGGTGGTGAGGTACCTGTGTTAATTGTGGCCTCTCTCCTTCCTAAAAATTCCCAAACGACATGACCTTGGTCCCAGCATCACCCACATCATCTGTGTGCAGGGAACACTTGGTGATGAGGATGCCCCACGGAGGGGCTGGGAGTGCTCCTGCCCCCAGTACCAAGGTTACTGGGAAACACAAGAGGTAAGACCCCTAAAAACCTCCCATCCTCCATTATCCTATAGCAGGTCCCTCGCAGCTCTGCAGCCGTGTCCTCGATCTCCAGCCAGAGACGGGGGACCCAGCCGTCCTCCGTGCCGGGGAAGTCGTGGCCCCCTGCTCAGGCTGCTCTGGCAGCGGCAGGAACGCGGCCCCATCCCCATAGCGGGCGGCACCGGCCTGCGGGGCCGTGAAACTCCCCGAAAAACACCGAACTCCCCCAGGCAGGAGAGAAGGGGAGAGCTGGGCAGGACGGGAAAACGCCAGGACTGCGGGAAGGCTCCAAGTTCCAGCTTCCCCGTCCGGGTGGGACCTTCCCTCCGAGGGTTTCCCCTCCCCGAAAACCGATGCGGTTTGGCGGAGCCGGAGCGCCGCTTCCCCGGGGCCGCCCCCTCCGCGGTACCGGCGCCCGGAGCGGACCGAGCCCTGCTCGGCGCCAGTGATCACCGGCGACGAGCCCTGCGGGGCAGCTCTCCGGCTTTGGTTTTTTTTTTTTTTGTTATTTTTTTCCCTCCTCTCAGCACTCCTTTTCCTTAAACACTCCGGAGCAGCGGGAGCGGGGCGCCTGGGGCGATGCGCGGCGCGGGGGAGCGCATCCTCACCGGAGACCGCCCCGGGCAGGGGACCAGCTTTCCCCAAAAACTCCCGGCCTGGGCTTCTCCTGGAAGGGGGAGTTAATTCCAGCCGGTTTCATTAGCAGGAGAAACGCTGTGGTGGGGCACCACCCTCTACCCTTTATTATTTTTTTTTTTATTTTTTCGTCTTTTTGGCTTTTAAGGAAAAGAAGGAAAAAAAGCTAGGGAGTAAAGTGAAGCCGGGGCGGCTGGGCCGTACCCTCCGAAGCCGGGCAGCGCCGCCGGCCCCTCGAGGCGTGGCGGGACCGGTACCTGCAGCCAGGTAGGAGAGCGGGGAGGAAACTTATTCCGAGTGGGGTGGGGAGGGGAGGGCAGGGCAGGGAGGTGGGGGTCGGGCAGGGAGGTATCAGATCCAGGAAATGTGCCTTGGCAGCAGTCGGACGGGCGCTTCCCCGCAGGTTAGTGAGCTCCACTCCGGAGCCGTCCAGGGCGTCGCGCCTCGCTCCGCACCCCGGGCAGCCCCGGCGGCGGGGAGGCGGGGGTGGACGGGACAGCCCGCGCAGGGCGGGCCCGCCGCAAGAACCCCCAGGAGCGAACGCCTCTCCCGCCGACTCCCCGTAGGAAGGCACCGCCCGGGCCGCCCCAGGTAAGCGGCCGAGCCCCGCCGACGGCAGCCCCATATCCTCCCTTCCCGCGCCGGGCACTGCTCCGGTCGCCCCCCACCTCGGGGTCGCTGGGCTGGGGGGACGCTGCGACCCCGCCCGGGACAGCGGCTGCGCAGCCGGAGCCGGGGGCCCGGGGAGCTCTCCCGTTCGGAGGGAGGAGGGAGCGGGGCGCTGGGGAGCGGGTGGCCGGCCGCGGCGGGGCCGGTGTCCGGGCTGAGCGCCGTGTGTCCGGGCTGTGTTGACAGGCGGGCGGCGCGGCCCCTCGCCTGGCCTGTCTTCCCACCATGCTGGACGGGCTGAAGATGGAGGAGAGTTTGCAGAGCGCCCTGGATCCCGCGGCCCCCTTCTCCTCGCTGCTGGGTAAGTTGGGGCACCTCGCTTGCCCTCCCGGGGACCCCCCCGGGGGGGGGGCACGGCCGGGTGGGCCCGAGCGATGGGCGCGGGGGTCCGGGGGGCCCGGGAGCAGCTTTCACCGGCTCGTTCTGCCCACAGCCCTGTCCGGCACCGCGCCGCTGCCTTCTCCCGGGGAGTGCGCCCGACGCCCGCCATCCCCGCGCCCGGTTCGTTCCGCGATGACATTAAACTGTGTGCCCCCCTAACCCCCATGTAGTGAAGGCCTTTCCTTCGTATCTAACAATAAATAATTTACTGTTTCTTTTTATCTTCGTTTTAATATCGGTTTCAAACAACCGCCGTCTCTCTGAGCCGCGGCGCCGCTGCCGCCTTTCCAAAAGGAACGAAATTGGGGGCGGCGTGCCCCCCTCGGAGCTGCCCTAAGGCACAGATCCCCCGTGGATCCCGCAGCAGCTCCCCACACTCCCTCGTCCCCCCGCGACCGACCAGCCTGGGTGGGGGAAGCGAAAGCCGCAGGACCCCCCTATCCGTCCCTCGCCCAGCCCGTTTCCCCGGTTGCCTTTCCTTCCAACCTTCCCAACCCCCGGGTACTTCCCCGCAGGCAGAGCCGCGACCCCTAAGTCGGTCTGTGAAGGATGTCAGCGAGTGATTTCGGACCGGTTCTTGCTACGCCTGAACGACAGCCTGTGGCACGAGCAGTGTGTCCAGTGTGCATCTTGCAAGGAACCCCTGCAGACCACCTGCTTCTACCGTGACAAGAAGCTCTACTGCAAGCTGGACTACGAGAAGTAAGTGTCCCTCCGACCCTGGAGAGCCCCCGTTGCTCTGCTCCCAGTGCCCTGCTGACAGGATGGGGAGACTGGTGTCCCCGCTTCCCCTGCCCCGTGTGTCCCAAGAGGTGTCAGCCCTTACTATGCTGAACGGCGAGTTGTGCTTCTCCCCCGCAGTTTCGGTGCACCCTGGTTCTCTCTTTTGAGGTGTTTTGTTGTGGTCGGGTTGTGCCTTGGGAGTTGAGGAATGTTTTGCTAGGAGCCTGTGAGACATGGAAAACCCAGGTCTGCCCAGGGATAGGGCCAGGCGTTTTTCTATCTCCTCTGGCTTTATTTTCCTGCCAAGTGGCTAGAGTCCCTGACTTAGTGCTGGACAAGGCTATTTTCCTAATATCCTTACAGGCAGGGAAATGCTATTGTTCCCCCCAAGTTGGGTGGGGAAACTGAGGCACTCAGGAGGGACCAAGGAAGGCCCTGCTAAATTTGGAATGTTGACTGTCACACAGGGCTTTTCCCTGCACCGGGGTCTATGACGGAAAGGAAATTTGGATGTAGGTGGTTAAAGCTTCCAGCCCCAGCACTCCCCCTTTGGCAAGTGTGGGGCTGAGGGGAAAGAGAGTGAGAAAATTTATTTTTCCTTTTTTTTAAAGAAAACCATTCCAGTGGGAATGGGGAGAAGGCTGCTGAGTCTTTCCTGCAGCTGCTTTCGTTTTTTCCTGCTCATCCCGCTCTTGCCGTCCTTTCTGGACCCCACTCCCTGGCTGGGTTTTGAAGCCGTTAAATTTTTTTTGCCTCTGGGCTGGTCACTTCTTGAGGAGGTTGTAGGTGGGGGGCTGGATCCCTCGCTATGGTGATAGCAGGGCTGCCGGAGCCTGGAGGATTTAATTCGCATGTCAGTGTTACATGAGAAAACAGTCGTCGGCAGTGCTCTCGTCCCTGGCCTTCAGCGAGTTGGCGAGTGTGCTGGGGGCTAGCCTGGCTCCAGGCCTTTTTAAATTTGGGGTTTTTTTGTTTGTTTTTTTTTTTTTTCCTCCTTTAAGTCCTGTATTGTGGGTCTGAGTTTAATCACTATGGATACAAGGAAAATTGAAAGCAGAATTTGTGCGCATGACCTTGTTTTCAAATGTTTACGAAAGAGCGGAAGAATTAACTGCCGCCAGAGCGGGAAGGACAGAGCTGTGTTACGGGGTGGGTTTTTTTGTATGCAAAAATTTGTTGGAATTGGGCATGCTGCTTGTTTGTCCATAGAAATTTGGCTACTGGTTCCCATACATTTTCAACACAATTTAATTCTCATTTTCTGCTTTATTGGTGTTTCTGTTTGGAGCATTGAGGGGGAATCAGGGTGAACATTACCCAGAAATGTCTTTCCAGCTTGGAGCATGTGTGGATTTTAATCTTGACCACAGCTTCCAAGCTCCGGCAGTAGCTCCAACCTGAAACACTCATCTGATATCTCTTGACCATGAAAGAAATCAGTGCCGCAGTTGGCTTCTTCCTGTGTCCATCTCACTGTTGGGGTGGACAAGGATGATTGCAGGAAAAAAATGTCACAATTTTTTCCTGGGCTCCAGTGGTAGCACCATTTATCCTGGTTATTTCCCAGCTGTGTTTGGGTTGGTGACTTTTCCTTGAGCCGGGGAGCAGGCTCTCTGACGGGTGGTTTCCCTGAGGTGTGATGGTTTTAGCTCTGAACTGCTGCTGGCCTGTCCCCCTCCTACACCCACCTGTCCCTTGCTATCATGTTATTGTCCCCTTGAATTTAATTCTATTTCATTATTTTGGCATGGGGTTGCAGATCTGTGTCTCTTCTTTTCCATCCCCCTGTCAGTGTTCTCTGCTGTGCTGGTGCTCTGACTCCTTACCTGGTGACGGCAAGGATGCGGAGCAGAGTCCCAAAGAGCTGTTTGGGCTTTGCTGAGCCTTACATATTACTCTGTATTTAACAAAAAACATTCTTTCTTTGCCCAAACTGCCTGTCCTGTCTTAGGCCTGAGCATTTTCCTGGGAGCAGGAGCTCTGTGCCTGCTCCGGCTGCGGTGCTGATGCCGATAATGGAGGTTTTAGTGTGAAACATGCAGAGCAAGAGCTGCTGCTCTCAAACTGAGCTCATTATCTCGAGCTGATAGCTGGTTAATTACCACAAGTGACTGACACTCCTTGTGCAGTGTGGTGGTGTAAAGGCGGCCGATGGTCCCTGCGGCGGCGGTGTAGCTGGGCTCCCGAGGCCTCTCCATCGACACAGTGGAGCTTACCGTGTGGGAGGGCTGCGGTGTCTGTGGGTGAAATGGTGGGGGTGTTGGGGAAGCGGTCAGGATCCAACCTGCCAGTGTTGTGGTGTTGGTGTTTTGGGGTTGTGTTTTTTCTTTTCTTTTCCTTTTTTTTTTTTTTTTTTTTTTTCAATTGGAATGAAGGGATTTCTCTTTCAGATGGTGACTGTTGGGGTGTTTTGCCCGGGATGAGTAAGTGCAGTATTCTCCAACATGTTTCTTTACTCTCTGTTTGTGCTCAGTCTGTAACAAGGTTGCAGAGGGTTAATGGCAGTGTGTGAGACCACAGAGTTATGCCTTTAGTTATAAATACACCCATGGAAAGTGTTACAGATGGGTTTAAACGAGCATCTGACTTGCTGGACTCTCGAAATTGAGGAATAATTTGTTAAAACACATGTTTTACATTTCTTCGTCTGTCATAAAAAGGAAGACCTTGGGAGAGGACTTGGAGAGGGATGAGCTAAAGATTGAGGATGCCAGGCCAGCATTGCTTTGGGGTACTGCAGCGCAGGACCCGCGGGCAGTTCGGATAGCGATGCTGACTGGGAACGTGGGGAGTTGGGGGTCACTCTTGGAGCAGTTTCCCCAGCACTGGTTGGGAGGACTCCTGGAGAGGGATGGCTCAAGCCTGTGCCCCTGGGACAGCATCTATTTGGGGCAGAGGACGTTTGTTACAGAACATCCTGAGTCCCGCAGCAGCCCCCGGCGCTTGTCCAAACCTGATAACTCTCAACTATGACAAGGTTCAGGCTTTACCCTGGCCGGCTCCCTGACTGCAAAGTGACCCTGGGGACACGCCCCGGCCGTGGGGCCCCTGTGGTGGTGGCTGGGGGAATGGGCCTTTGTGGTGGCAGATTTGGGGGGCAATATTAAACCTGACCATAAATGGGGAGGAGTGCTGGAAGCAACGGGAGGAGTGGGACTGCTCCAGAAGCTTAAAATCTGCATGGGCACAGGAATGGCTGAGCCCTGTCTGCGTAGAGGTGTTTCACAGGGGTTTTGCATGGGCCAAACAGAACCAGAGCCATGGGGAGGACCTGGAGCCACAGGGGCATCACCACTGCAGGTGATGCCGGTGGTGTGTGGAAACCCCGCCGGCCGGTTCTGGGGCTGGGAGTGCTGACAGTGGTGCGGTCGTGACGGGGGGCGCAGCTGGGGAGCGTGGCGACGGCGGGACGGCTTGGCACATCCCCAGCCACGGCGCAGAGCCCCGGCACCAGCCCCGGCTGGCAGGAGCAGATGGCCAGCACATCTCGGAGCAGGCCTGGCATGTGGGCGCCGGCAGTGGAGGGGTGGCTGCAGCCCCTGAGCCGCCACCACCATGCCGGGCTCCCCGGCCAAGGGAAGCAGTTGTGTGATGCTCGCCCTGTCTTCGCACGGCTTGATGGCTCTGTGCTGTTGCCAGATTCTGCGCCATCATCGCAAAGCTCCCCTTGCTTGGCTCCGAAATCCCCTGCTCCCCGAGTCATGGAGTTGCGTGGGTGCCTCCACCTCCTCCTTTGTGAAACAAAATGAGAAGTCACATCCAGTTGCAAAGGGAAAAAAAAAATGATCCTTACACCCTCTGAACATGCACACAAAAGAACACGTGTGCAGAGAAGCCCATTGGTGTTGGGTTTTAAAATCATACCCAGGATCTTCATATGGGGGATGATCCTGAATCCCTGGCAGCGTGGTCCTGCCAGGCCACGGATGGTTCTTCCGGCTCGGGGCAGCGCAGCCTCCTCTCACCCACTGGAGGCTTCTCTGGCAGCTGCTGCTGTAGAGGAGAGAGGGGGAAGAGGTTTGGAGCATGATGGCTGTTTATCTTGCTTAACGTGGGTAATGAATGTAATTGCGCAATTAGCTGCAAACCTTGGCCCTGCTTCCCTAGCCTGGAAGGGCTGAAAGGGGATAATCCCAAGCGGATTGAACGAAGAAGGTGATGCTGAACACTTTAGCACAGCCTGGTCCCACCAGCTGGAGAGTTGCTATGGTCTGGTGGGTTTGTCCTGGTGATTCACAGCCCTTTGCCTTCGCTTGCCTGGAGAAGTGGGACTTTTGTGCTTTTTGTGACTGATGGGAGAGAACTGTCACTCCAGAGAGCCACTTGTCAGCCCAGCTAGAGTGCAACAGTAGGTCCTTTTCCATTCTTGTAGGGCAGCCTGTGGAGAGGATGATGCTAACTTGGGTTTCTCCAGCTGACCAGGCACTGGGAACAGTCAGGCTGGTCTTGATGGGGTAGCAGAGCACATACCAGCTCTATGGCACAACATTCCTCTTGCTAATCTTTCTTTTCCCATCCCTCAGTCTTTTCTTCTAGTGCTTCCCTTGCTTCTTGCCTGCTCTCCATCCCCATGTAGCACCTCATCTCCTGTAGCAAGCACCTCTCTGTCCTCACCCACAGCTCCTGGAGGAAATGTGCTGACTTTTGTGGGCTGGGATGAGTGTGACTGTGGGGCAGCTGAATCTGGCCTCGCCCCCACCATGGTTGGTACAGCCAGGCTGGGACAGGTGCTGGTCCTTTGTTTTTTAAGTTGCCTTGTTGTGCCAGTGGGGGGTGGAAAAGCAGGGAAGCAGCAGGATGCAGGGATCCACAGGCAAGCAAAATATGCCTTACCTCTCTCCATCAACCCCTGTCCTCCTGCTCATGGGGCTCCCCCTTTCCAAAGGGAACGGAGAAGTGATTTGGCATCTTGCCCCTTCTCTTTGCCCTTAATTAGATTTGTGTCTTACAATTAATGTTTCATAGAAAGGCCTAGAAAG